TCCCTCCGACTTTGTTGCCTTGAGGAGAGGCTTCTGCCGTATACCGTATACCCAAAGTATAAACGGCTTGCTGATGCAGTCCCACAGAACCCCCAAGAGCTACGAGGAGAAAGCAAGAAAGGCAAATACTGCAAAGACTGTAAAGAGGGCCCTGGAAGCAACACCCATGCGAAAGTCCCATGTTGACAAGCAACTCTGAGATGGAGTTGTGCATTTCCGCCAACCTGCACTGCCATCAAAAAACCTGCAGGGTGACCTCTTGCCTCCCTTCCCCTCCACACAGCTATTCAGGAAGCTCACCAAATGTTCTCATTTGACTCTTCCAAAACGGCACAACAATGTTCTTGGAGAGCCCTGCGCAAGGCTTTTCCGGCAGAAAGCTAGACGTTGATCAAGCGGTTGACACGTTTGATTCGATTCAACCAAATTGCGAGTATTACTGTTGTGTTCTGAAGTCTGTTTTGCTGCAATTCCTCGTCTGGCTTGGAAAGCGCCGAAGCACCGCGCTCGCCCGTCGCGCGTGCAAAACAAATCCGCCTGCGGCAGTGGTTCCCCCGTCGATAGCGCGGCACGAGAGCGGAAGCAGCCCAGAAAGGCCTGAAGAGTGTGGTTTTTGGCCCCAACCGTGCTTTGGCCAACGACCAGCTTGTGAATTAATCCGTGTTCCGTCAATGAAACAAAGTGTGGACGCTTTCAGACCCATTCTCCTGTCAAGGCCCCCTTCAAAGTTCTCAAATAGACACATCACCCACAGAAGCACTCGGACATGTTCAGCAAAACTCCGCGCAAGAATTGCACAGAGAAGACTGGTAACGCTTGCGATTTTTGCCGAGGCTAGTGCAGCTTTCGGGATCCCTGCAAACTGAAGGCAACAAACATGTCACCGAAATGGGAAGCGGAGGCCCTAGGTTTGACGACGCACATTTACATAGTTGTGTGGGTCGCAACATAAGCGGCCAATGTGTGTGTGTGTGTGTCTTGTGACCATTGCCAGACCAAGTTTTAGGCTTAACAGCACCTCATTTCAGCAGCCGGCCAATTCGCACAACGAATTCCAAGGAGGGGAGTTGTTGAGATTGCTGGCCAGAGCAGCAGCTGATCTTGCCGGCAAGTCTCCACAAATGCCACTGCGCAGGCAAAGCATTGCTAGAGGTGGTATGGGCTCTCTGCATGCCCTTCTTAACCATTACGATTTCAAGCCGAATGGCAATCCTCCTAGTTGATGTGCAACCGCACACGATGGTTTATGAGCACCCAAGCTTCGAACCCCTTCACCGCCATGTTCTTACTTTCCCAACCATGAAACTGGAAACAACAACTTGACCTTTTGGGAGTGCAACGAACCCGGATCAATGATGAGAAACCACAAGTTTAAAGGGTCAGCTCGGGACAAGCGAATAAATGTAAACACAAACACACTTGCTCAGTGCCCGCGTGCCCATGGGAAGTTGTTAGCTCATTCTATTGGGAATACATTGGAACACCACCCCAAACAGGGGAGCAACGGTTACCACTGAACTGGGTAAGGAGGGGGTTCAACATTGGCACTCGGCAGCCGGGCGGTCTCCTCTTCAAAGTCACAAGCCTGTGCGGCGTTGCTCAGAGCGATTTTCAGCTGGTCCTGCGGACAGAAGCGAACGGTCGGGTGAGAGACATCGCCACAGTTACCAGTTGCCAGTGGCCACAGTCAAAAACAGTTTTTTGAAAACCTTGTCGCGTTTGAGGGGTCCGGTGGCAATGTGGGGTTTCGGAGATCATCGAAGCCCAGTCAAATGCTGGTGTCTTCTGAAGCACAAACATGCGTTCTGCTTGTTTCACGAGGAATAGGAAACAAGGGCACGGGATGCCACACTTCCAGGAATCAATTTGGTCCGGCGAATCCGAATACAGCAGCTCGCACCTGATTGGCGACAGCTACCCGTAGCGGTGGCGCCCCCTGCGCATTGCGGAGATCGCAAGTGAAGTGTGACGTGTTGGGATGAGAGCCACGGACTCAATGCGTACCACGGTGGGCTGAGTACTCTAACAATAATTTAGCATTGTATGGGTCTGAGTGACAGGTTGCTTGTATTGGTTGAAGATCTTCTCCAACAGGATTGCCAGGGCCCAGCTGCGTAGCATCCATGATCTTCCTTCCAAGGGCGAGGTTGTTTACTGCCACAGGCAGTGTCCCAAGTCCACCGCGCAGTGTTGCAATTGCTTAATCTTTGCAAGTGGCTTTCTGTAGGGAGCCAACTGGATAAGAGATGGAGCCAATGCCCCATGTCTTCTAGAAAGCACACACCAAGCGGCTGTGAATCTATCTCAGTGAGTACCTTGGGGCTGGTGGCAACGACCATGAATATGACCACTGAGCAGATCCCACCTTGATGTGTCAAATGTGTCTGTAGCTTGCGCAGCATGCCGCATATGCTTCTATGCGTCCGCCAAGAATAGTGCACCCCTGTTTGCATTTGTGGGAATTTGCATGGGTGTGGGTTGCCGGTTCGGCGAGCGTAAA